AAATTTCGTTAGTAGTAGCAATGGAGTGGGCGAAGGACGCTTGGCGCTCTGTGGCACCATCGACAGTGGTGAACTGTTGGCGACGTACTGGAATCCTTGACAATGACTTGGCTGCGTTCAGCAAGCGAATGGCTCAGGTTCAATTGCAGTGACGAAAGGTTCTGTAAAAACGAATAACCTTTTGAGTTTATGAACTGTGAGAGTTTTTATTTTTATTTGTGTCCAAGTCGGGGGGAGATCAGTATATTTCGTGGAATCCCATGGGTTAAAATTCGTGGAAATTTATTATATTTCACGACGTCAGCATGTAGTTTCGTGGGAGAACGTCGAAGTTACTCATTATATTTCGTGATTTATTTGCTCAGTTATTAGATTCGCAAACTTCCAATATATTTCGTGACGAGACCAATATATTTCGCATGGTCACTTCAACTCGCTCTGATTGGTCAGAAAACTGTGTGCGAAACGTCGTTCGCACACTTTTCAAGCACGACCGTATTACTTTGCAGAGATTGGGACGCTTCTGTACGTCGACGTGGCTGACACGACCGGTGGAGTTGCTCCAGATATGTACCACGTAACTTACAGTTAGTATACTAAGTAGAGTTGATAGGACCTATTGTGTTAATATTTATGCGAAATATATTGGGCTCGTCACGAAATATATTGTATGTTTGCGAATCTAACACGAAATACTGTATACTGGCCTGGCAGTCCACGAAATAGAATGAGTAGTGAATTCGACGTTCCCACGACACGAAATGCCGACGTCGTTCGAATTTCCATGAATTTGTTTTCGGGGTTCCACGAAATATACCAGATATTTTTCGAAATTAACCGCAAAAACGTGTAGTAGTTTATGAATGTAGTCGACTCGAAATTTTACATACAAAAGTCAATGCAAAGAATCGATCGTCGATACTGTAGAAATTTCCAAATTGTTGGCTAGGACGATAAGGACATGGCGGAAATATATATCACGTTTCACAGGTTCAGGGCGGAATCAAAATATCACGTTTCACAGGTTATGAGGACATGGCGGAAACCAATATCACGTTTCACAGGTTCAGGGGGTCTATTAACAACTAACGTACTACTCAATAATCGTGGAGGAAGGCCACGCCTTCGTACTTGAACGTGCCTGGGAGGGCCGTCTCGGGCATGAGCACGGCGCCGTCCACGGTGAAGACGGTCACGTACGCGGCCTGGGCGTCCGTCGCGTCGTTCTCCATGCTCTTGAGCGCCACAATCACACTGTCGTGGGTCCCCGGCACGAACTTGAAGCTCGAGAACCCCCGTTCGGGAGTGATGGTCCCCACCTTCCGCACTTCAAGGTGGCTAAAGTCCTCGGATGCGACGATGAGGAGGTTCGACCCGCGCTTTTCGTCTGCGACATCGTCGTAAACCTCAGTCGAGACGCGCCGGGGGAGGACAAACCACTGCCGGTGTACGGCGCTCCACTCGATCGCTTCGTGGATCACGTACCCCGGGTACCCGCAGCCGACGGCCTCCCGCACTTTTTTGAAGCGGTCCGTCCAGTTCTCATGGCGGACGGCGCCATTATGCGATAGGATGCTCACCCACATGTTATTCTCGTGGATGACTTGGGCGCCGGCCGTGAACTCTTTGCCGATGCTGCCCATAAACAGCTCGCCGTCTTTTACGGTGGCCCATTCGTGCTTCTGGCCCTTGGTCGTCTCGCCGTTGCCTTCCATGGCGATTGCCACCGGCACCGCGCGCATGTCATTGGGTCCGTCGCGCATGGAAAAGTGATCGAGGCGGAACACGAGCCCCGTGCGATCGTCGAACGAGTGCAGCTGCCCCTGGAACCACGCCAACTCGCTCAGCTCGAACCCGCGCCCGGCTTCGTTGAGCGTCGTGCTGAACGTCGCCATGTCTTTCCATGTGACAGAGTACTCGAACTGGGCGGCGGCGCTGCTGTCGGCCACCGACGACGTATCCGGCCGGTCGTGACGCTGTAGAATGGCCTTTTGAAAGTACGACTGGAACAGCGGCTTCTTGCTGTCCGAGACCTTGCTCGCCTTGTCCAAATCTGCGACAAAGCCCAGCTCGAATCGGTCGGGAAGGTGCTCCCACGCAATCGCCAACTGCGACGTGGACGGCGGCGGCGGCACGCGGAACGACGGCGTCGACCGCAGCGACGTGTTGAGGGTCGACAGCGACATGACCGTAATGAACACGAGGAGCGCGAGGACGCCGTATCGCAGCCTGGACCGATCGATCATGCTGGAAGATGGAGGCGGCATGTAAAAGTCGGTGCTCGTCTTGCGCTTCTGCTTTAGCCCCAGACCCAGCCCTCCAAGCATGGGGAAATAATGTACGAAAAGCTTATGCCATGCTCCCACCAATCAGCGCCCTCCATATCCGTATCCTCCGGATGTGCACGACCTCCCAAAACGTGACCAATTCTTGCTCGTCAAATGTTACGTGTGATTTCGCCCTCTGCGACAACCTGCCACGTGGCAACCTCGGTCTTGTGAAGCCACGGGAACATGCGACAGTGTCTATCCGAGGTCGGTACAAATCTATGACTTCCAATACTAGTACTACTGTAGTACTCTGGAGTACCACACAGTAAAAGACTTGTATTTAAGATGCCATAAATCAGAACTAGTACTATCTATGTATTACGTAGTATAATAACTTTTATACTAGTACTATTAAAGGATATACTACGTGAAAATATTTCTTTGAATTAACATGTAAAAGAAGAAACCGGAGGCGCACTATATTAACTGTCAAGAAGTTTCCGCGGATTGAGTGTGGCTTTGACGGGCTATTTCGAGCAGCTGCCCCAATTGGACATATCTGTCGTCGACGGCAATCGAATGGGTGACTTGCGGCCTGCCGGTGGCTTCGTCCTCGGTGAAGAAGAACGTCCGCGTGAGTACATGGGTTATGGTGGTGTTGGTAGCGACCAACGCGTCGATGGTGTCGGGGCTTTCGTCGTCGAGGTCGTAGCCCACCATGACTCGGCCTAGCACGTCCCTCGTGAGCGGGGTGTGCAGTTGGACTTGCATTTCGATGCGGTCGTTCTCGATGGGTAAGATGCTGAGCAGGCTGTCGGGAGTCGCGTACACGGGAGCCGCCCTTTGCCAGAACGTTATAAACCCGTCCAAGGACAAGGTGTTGGCTGTGAAATTGGGCGAGAAGCACGTGCGCAGGAATTGCACTTGGGCGTCGCCGCACTCGTACATGCTGAACTGCTTTTTGTACTCGACGACGATTGCCATGGGACCATCATACGGCGACGGGAGCGAGTGGTAGAACGCGAGGCGGGTCTGGGCTTGCTGGACGTCGCGGTGCAGCTGATCGATGGCGGCTTCGAGTTGCAGCGCCGATCTCTTCCGGCGGTCGCGATGGCATCGCATGTTCATCTTGCATTGCAGCCGGCGGCGAATTTGCTTTTCGTCTTTAGCGAGAAGCGCCATACGAACGTTGCTAGGTAGTAGTGTCGTGGTGGTTGGCAGTGGATGCAAGAATGAAGCGAGCAAGCAGACTCAAAAGGGCGTGATGAACTGAGCACATTGTTGGATAACCAACAGCATCCACCGTGTCCTATACTATTGCGTCAAACTAAGCAGCATATGTATTAAGGTAATCACGTAATACCCACTTTGAATGGAAAGAAGCATAATAATTGGTGGAATCTGAGGCTACCTAGACCAGTTCGATACACGTGATTAATGGGCAAAATTGATGTTACAGATAACTCACATGTTGACCACCAGTCAAAGGGCAACGTCCGATGATGTTATGGCCCCCCGGGAGCAAAATAACACGTTTTAAAGCTTACCATTTCATGTCCAATTTTGTGCTTTAGCAAGGCGGTGCGTATGTATGGGCGCCCAATTTTTACGCGGCTGTGTGAAGTGCATGGATTGTACAGTGTACTATTTGACGGTGTTCCCTTGTCAGTGGTCTGGGACTAATAGGTAGTAGAATCGAGCGTCATTTGGGGGAATGGATGTCCGAGTTCCGGAATTAAGCAGGGGAAGACCGTCGGTAGATGGCGGCTCTCCGACTTGGTCGACTTGGTGGGGCCACCAGAGGGGGCCTTACATGGGAACTAACGTGGCTGCATGACAGGCTGATGGATGTCACAGTTTACTAGTTTATCCCAACGTTTATCCCATCACTTGGTCACTGGTGGATAACGTGGGTGCGGAAGTAAGCCAGCGATTGATACAAAAAGCAAGCATGTTTTATAGAGCGTTATGTATACCTTACGAATTCAAAGTATATAAACAATTCCAGAGCTCGACCAGTGTTACGAGCTTACGATTGGATAAAATTCAACGAATCAAATGTCTGGAAGTCTGAATTATCGCCACGACACTTTCTTTCCACGGCGGTGAGTGTGGTGATGATTCAAGCGGTGGACGCGCCAAGTCTTCTGGTCCTGACCCTGCTGTGCGTTGTGGTGGAGGTGCTGCTGCATGTTCTGCAGACACGAGGAAGCCGACCTACGCAGGCAGAGCTCGCCCTGCAGCGGCAGCATGCGGTGCTCGCCGTCCAAGCGAAGAAGCTCAACAGCGTCGACATGTTTGTCGAGCATTCCAAGTTGGTGCGTCAGATGAACACCGTCAAGAAGCAGGAGCAGACGCTGGCTGTCGAGCGCTTGGCGCATGCAGCGGTCCCCCGCTACTTTGGCTACATCCAACCTGTGCTCCTGGCGATCGTGGTTGTCGTGTTCTGGTCCAGTCCGCTCGTGGTGTTCCCTCCTGGGCGGCTCATGCCCGTGGAACGCCTGGTGGCCATGCCGTTCTTCCCTGCCGGCTCCGTCTCCGCCGGGGGCTGGTGGCTCATCTGTCGACGAGTGCTGGGCAAAGTGTTGAAGTAAACATGTTTGAATATATTACAAGAATATATTATTGTGATATATCAGCCCAGAGTATCCCCTCCGTAGCCGCCGCTTTGGCCGCCCAAGTAGTCGCGGCGACCGGCATTGAGCTTCCGCGCATTCGACTCGAGCTTGGGGCAGTCTGTGATCCGATGGCCCAACCCACCACAGAACGCACACCCTACCGCCAAACAAGTGTCGATTAAAACATCCAAAGTATCATTTTAACCTCAAAAAGCATCATTTTAACCCCAAAATGTATCATTTAAACCCCAAAACGTATCATTTTAACCTCAAAAGTATCATTTAAACCCCAAAAAGTATCATTTGAACCCTAAAAAGTATCATTTTAACCCTAAAAAGTAGTATCCTATTCACCTCAAAAAACCATTTCATATGAAATACTATCATTTGAACCTGAAAGAACAGAATCATTTTAGAGGCATAAAACGTTTCAGTCAAACGACAAATCGTATCATATTCACCCGAAAACAAAGCCATTAGGACCCAAATCGTGTCATTTTCACTGTAAAAAGACCCTAATCGTAAAGTGTAACTACTACCTTTGGAGCCCGTGGCATTCTCCTGCAAGTGTTCCATGGGGTCGTCCAGCGCCTTGAGCACCGGCGGCACGCGCTGCTTGGCCTCCACGAGCAAGTGCTTTAGATCCAGCAAGGCACTTTCAGGCACGTTTTTATTGATAAAGGTTGTGGCGACCCCTAAAACCCGAACATCTCGTACACCCGATACCCTGTCAAAACCCATACCTGTCTTGCCACAGCGCCCCGTGCGGCCAATGCGATGCACGTAGTTTTCAATTTCCACGGGCATGTCAAAGTTGATCACATGCTGGATGTCCGGAAAGTCCAGACCTTTCGCCGCGATGTCCGTCGCCACGAGCACGTCCTTGTCCCCGCGCTTGAACAAATCGATGGCTTCGTTTCGCTCAACTTGGTCTTTTCCACCTAAAAACCCCAAAAAATGCTAAAAAAAAGCCCAAATTCAGATTAGTAATCACCGTGAATCGACACGGCTTCCACCCCCTTGAGCAGCAAATACTCGTGGATGTCGTCCACGTCGCCCTTGCGCTCGCAGAAAATGAGCACCGGCGGCGCCGTCTTCTGCAAACATTCGAGCAAGTACACGATCTTGGCCTCGTGTTTCACATACTCGACTTCCTGGAGCACGTCCAAATTCGCAGCCCCCGCCCGGCCCACGTTGACCAGAATTGGGCGCACGAGGCTAACAAATATATATAAACAAACTATTTGTATCTATAAATAATAATAAAAATAATAATAAATTGTCGACATATTAAAACACGTCCAACAATTCACGTCATGGTGAGGTTTTGCATAAAAACACGAAAAAGGCGCTTATATATATCTATACATATATATATATATCGTACAGGTATATAATTAATATATAAACAAACTATTTGAATCCAACGGTAATAAATAATAATAATAAATTGTCAACATATTAAAACACGTCCAACAATTGATTCTAGTCGAAAACGTAGCGAGATCGTTTTGGCCTATTTCCACGGCATGGTCGTGGAAAAACGAGATATATTTTTTAAAAAAGCCAAAACATGTCGAAAACACTTACACTTGTTTGGCGAAATCTTGAAATTTCTGCGGCATGGTCGCGGAGAAGAGCAGCGTTTGGCGCTGATGTTTGAAGTGGTTGAATATGGCCGCGACTTCCTCGTCAAAGCCCAAGTCCAGCATGCGGTCGCCTTCGTCTAGGCAAATGTACTGGCACAGATCCAAGTGCATCTTCTTCGACTGCAAAAAGTCCTTTAGGCGGCCGGGGGTCGCCACGACGATGTGCACGCCGCGCTTGAAGATCATGTCGAGCTGCTCGCGCTTGTCCTGGCCGCCCATGCACAGCAGGCTGCGAATTTCGGGAAAACTGCGAAAAAACGGTGAATTTTGGACGAAATTTGGGAAAACGGCGAAAACACGGTGAATTTTGGGAATTTCGGGAAAACGGCGAAAAAAAGTGAATTTTGGACGAAATGTTTCAACGTACCCAGCTTGAAACAGGGACGACGTGAAGTGGGTGACAATCTCGTACGTCTGGCGCATGAGTTCGCGGGATGGCCCGAGGATGACTCCGAACGGCCCTTCCTTGGCAATCAGCGGCATCTTCTTCTCCTGCTCCAGGGCCAGCATCACGAGCGGCAACGTAAATGTGAGCGTCTTGCCGCTGCCGGTGAACGCGATGCCGATGAGGTCCCGTCCAGAAAGGATGCACGGCATGGCTTGGACCTGGATCGGAGTGGGGCGGATGATGTTCTTTGCTTTCAATGAGTTGAGGATCGCGGGCGGGAAACGCATCTCGGCGAACGACTTGATGGGCGGCGGGATGTCGTCGCCGTCGACGAGAATGTGCCACTTCTTGCGTACGAGGTCGCACTCGTCCTCGGTGAGACGCGCAATGTGTCGAGGAGGTGTCCATGTCGTTTGAAGGGACTCAGTGTATCGAACGCCGCTCGCGTGCTCGGCGGCGGACACCAGCGCGCCCTTCTGGACCTGTGACGCTTCGTGCAGCAGCTGCACCTCCGACGTGGACTGTATCCGGTCGTCTTCGTTCACGCCTTCGTTTTCTCGCTTCTTCTTGAGCTGGAACGACTGGTCCAGCAAACTCACCGTAGACCGTGTTGGGGCAGCGGCATCAACGTCGTCAGAAGCAGGGTCGGTTGTCGCCGCCGAAGTGGGTTGTCGAGAGGTGGCGTCGTCGTCGGCAGCTTCTTCCTCGTCGTCCTGTGCATGCTGCTTGAGCTTCTCCTGGATGAGTTTCTGTCGCTTCACACGTCGCTCCTCTTCTTCGCGGCGCCGCTGCTTTAGTGGGATGTAGATGTCATCGTCGTCGCTCATTATGTTGGTGATGATCGATCGCGTGCGGTGGGTGAAGGAAGCAATATTATCCGGATAAAGATGCGGATACGGATAAACCATCGCGTACATGTCCGGATACGATGGGCACCCAATCCGGATACGATGGAACCCATATCCGGATTTGCTGTTTATCGAACGAACAATCAATGAATGCTCTGGGTTTATCATTGGAACCAACGTTAAGGTGACCAATGGTCTTGTGCTGCTATGTGTTTATCCCATTACGACTACCAATGGTCTTGTGCTCCTATGTGTTTATCCCATTACGACTACTAACGTAAGGCGACTACTAACGTAAGTAGACTGCGGAATGCGTGTTTTTCCCTGTTGGTGTGATAGTATTTATAGCAATATTGCCACGTTGAAGTAACTTATACATTGTTTGTAAGTAGCATTGTTTCGTTATATATGAATTGGGACAAACCTGGTTTACCACATTGAACCAATTCTCCATGTGGTGTTCGTTCTCGCAAGCTACGTCCAGCCTATCCCTTCCTCATCCAACGACTTGACTACAACCGCCGACACCGGTAGATGCCGCCACCAACCCCACATGCGCATAGCCGCGGTGAACGTGTCCCTGACTCGAACCCTTCCGGCAATGATGCGCAGGGCTGGCTGTGGAAGAAATGTGGTGTGTTCTCGCTGTGGAGGCGGAAGTACTTTGTCCTGTGCGGCCCGCTGCTTTCGTTCTACGACACACTTCCCGACACATGCTCTGCCAACCCTTCCATCGTGCTGAGCAGTGGTACGTGCAGTTCGCCTCAAGGGGTTCTTCGCGTCGTGTATGTCGAGAGCACCTCCAAGGGGTTCAAAGTGTTTGGCTCAAGCGGGAAAGTCATCCACGTCCGCGCTAATACTTCCTCGACCGACTTCAAATGGGTCCAAGTCTGCCAACGCGCAGCGATGTTGATGCAGCAGCAGAAGGAGACCCCTTCCCCATCGGACTGTTCGTCCACATGCACCGTCCTCAGCGACCACGATACTTTGAGCAGGATGAGTGACAGTGTCGATCGCTCCGGGTGGTTGCGTGGGGACAACGGCATCAAGTTCTTCGTCCTCCAAGCCACGATGCTCACGATGTACGAGAACAAGCAGCCGTGGTGCGTCCCATCGTACCGCGGCTACATCTGCTCGGTGGCCAAGAAGGGATACCAGGACCTCCGCGTCTCGTTGAGCGGCGGCAAGGTGCTCAACCTCCAGGCGCCGACTTCCCAGGATCGAGATGACTGGGCCATGCGACTCTACCAAAGCACCCAGCGGTAGTCGCCGGCCTCCTTACTTATTCCTTGCTCCCCGTCTCGAAACTCGTATGTTGTTAATCTAATCCACTTGCAATTGCTTGTCCACATATTAAACAGCAGTGTACTACGTTGGTCCTACTAGTAATACTACTACTAGTAGTAGTAGCTTTCTACTACACCATTGTCCGTAACTATGAACTAACAAATGTGGCTTCCATATTACAGGCTACATACATTATTAATAGGGAGTATAATAGTGTAGCGACCGTCCAATACATGGAAATATGGATCATATTTGGTGAAATCTCCACTTGGTAACTGATACTATTAATAGTATATATCCTCAGTGTCGACGCAACATGCACCCAAATAGTGTACGCATTGGACTACAACTTGAAACAGTCATAAAGTCAGGTGGATTTGTGGTCATTTCTGCCTACACATACTATTAGTGTAACGTAAATGATAAAGTCAGGTGGATTTGTGGTCATTTCTGCCTACAAATACTATTAGTGTAACGTTAGGCAGAAATGACGACAAATCCACCTGACTTTAAACTTTATATATTTAATATCTATTGTATATATAATAATAATATTTTCTATCAAACTATATATTTAATATTTATTTAATTTACAATAATTTAATATGACAAAGTCATCAAGAGAGGACACATTATGAAAAGAAACAATAGAATCATTAAATCTAAAGGCAAATATATGTTACCTGAAGGCGACACTATTCATGCGTTGGACCCCTTGACGTTTCGCCAATAGTACAACGGTGTAGTAGTACTCTTGCATTTATCGGTAATACTCTAAAATGCAATATATTACTCTGAATGGTGTAATATACTATTATTCTTGTGCCAGCGATACGATCCGCTTGATGCCGCGTAACTTGGCGCTTCGACTCCGTGGGTTTCCCAGCACTTCATCGTTTGTCGCTTGGATAGCTTTGCGCTGCGTCAGTTTAAACTCCTATGATATGCATAATATATTATATAACTAATAGTATATGAATACATAATATATATATATATTATGATTTCGAAGTATCCATATAAAACATGTATAATATAATGAATTCGACTGTAACTACGTAGCAGAGTGTGCAGTTACTATTAATACCTCGGTGTCGTCCACCACGTCTCGAAAGTATCGCTTGATCCATCGATCTTCGAGGGAATGGAAGGCAATGGTAGCTACAATATTGAATTGCTTACGTATTTGCTCTAGAACGGCGCGACGTACCCAATTGACCATCGACTGCCAAACACTCGAGAAACGCTGGTACGCCTTTCTACGTGTTGTAGTACCCATTGTTAACGAGCGAATGGAGCAACTGATACTACTAGTTAGTAGTTAGTTAATCGTACTTCAAGGTGATCCAATTCAAAGTTGACGGCAATGCGCAATGCCTACGCAGTACATATATATATATATACATAATACTGTGATAGATATGAAGTATTGTGAATACTTGGAAGACTCGAGTGGCGGGATGAATGGGTTTTTTCCCTGTTTTGGGGGCTGCTTTTTTAGGAGATTTCCATTTTTCGGCAATGGCTTCAATGCACCGTTTGAGTTGGTCGGTTCGTTCAAAGGGATTTGTCCCCCTCCGTCGGATAATCGCTTTGGCAAATTCCTTCGCCAGGGGCTCTTCCCCATACTGAGTGAAGATCTACTACCGTATTCTTAGTTTAGGATGGATTGTGATGGGAAATATCCCCACCTTGATCATAGCCACTTCCGACAGAGTGTTCACGAGGTCGGCGGCAGTGGGCGTATGCACTGACTGATCGAAGCGCATGTCCAAAGGGCCGTCGTGGTAGATGCTAAAGCCCCGTTCTCCCGCGTCCAAGTGGTGGCTAAGCGAGTTCCTCAGCATTAATCTTAGCAAAGATACCAACCTGTTGACCCCCAAGTCGACGAGGATACCGTCGACGGCGTCTGGGAATCCTGTCCACAACATCATGCGTGGTTGAAGAGTCTTGCGAGAATACCTACAGTACCTGCATGGGACAAATGAGTCTTGATGTCCATGTAAGATCCAAGCGCGAAATCCACCCGATCTGAAAACCGCGCCAACGAACGCTTGGCTTGGTCAAGGATCTAAGCCATGCTACTTGAGAAGAGTATGTAGGACGACGACAAACTGACCTCAGGGTCGCGATCAATGCACAGCAACCGAGCGGTGGGCGACGCATCGAGCAGCAGGCGGGAATGACCTCCCAGGCCAACAGTTCCGTCCACATAGTAGAGAGGTTCGCTTGTTTGTCCGCGCCGAGGCGCCCACAGCTCCAAAGTCTCCTGCGGAAGGACGGGGACATGATGGAAGTGTCTACTGCGGATCCCAAGGAGTCTGCACGGGGCCGCTACCCGGACACCCGCCAATGTCCACCACCGCATTGCACAACAACTGCCGATTTGAATCAACCTCGTGATTTGATTGGTAGACAAACACACACTATATTAGGTGGAAGTGAAATAGTGTGATTCGTTGTGCATATTATTGCACCAGTTGAAAATGTACTTCGACGCGTCTCCGACGTCCGTCAAGCCGCCGCTTCTGTCGCCCACTCTGCATGCCGTCTTGTGGATATGGGTATTTGCTTATATCGGCGTCGCGGCTCGCATGGGATTAGCGGAAGTGACGACGTCGCTGGAGAGGTCCCAGGCCAGACCCAGCGTGCTCACGGACATGGGTCGACCCTACTTCGTCGCCAACATCGTCGGATGCTTTGTCATGGGCGTGTGCCAGCCGTTGAAATCCAAGTACACGCATCTAGAGTCTGTATGGGTGGGTATCACGACTGGCTTTTGCGGCTGCTGCACCACGTTTGCGACTTGGCAGCTGTTCACGGCACACCAGTACCTGACGCAGCTAGGAGTGAATGCCACGTTTGTCTTCTTTATCCAGCTCACATGTTGCTTTGGGGCGCATTGGGGTGGTCGTTACATTGGCACGAGTGTATGTGAAAGCCCCGTAGAGCTTCCGCCAGCCGCCCTGGCGCTGCAACTTCGCAAAACAGCCGCCGACCAGGTCGATATATCGTCGTGTTCTACGCCCAATATCTGGAGCTCATTTTCACGTAGAGCGGAGATAAATGGCAGGCGGTCGTGGATGTATTGGACTCCCTTCTCCTTCAAACTCCATCGGACACCTCTGACGAACCAGCAGCCGACACCCCGTCCGTTCTGCTCCCGCGGATCTGCCTCGCTTCATTCGGTAGCGGCGCCATCTTGGTGTCCATTGCAGTGGCTTTTCACCAGGCTACATGGAGCTCGTTGTGGATTGGGCCGTTTGGCGCGTTGCTGCGGTATGCCTTGGGCCAGCGACTGAACAGGTCCACGTTGCCCTTTGGCACGTTGGTGGCGAATGTGCTGGCGTCTGCCGTCAACTGCATCGTGGTGTTGTGGCTTCGAGAGGTACTAGTAACTACCGTTAGTACTACTAGTAGTAGTAGCAGCGCCTCTCATTCAGTGGTTTCCTACCGTAGCCAGAGTGGGTTCAAGCAGCTATTATCACTGGCTTTTGTGGCTCCCTGTCCACAGTATCTTCCTGGATCAACGAACTCGACGGCATGCCAGTGAAGAAAGCGGTGGCGTATGTGGCCCTTTCGCACATCCTCGCCCAAGTCGTCAGTTTGACGATCCTCGGAAGTAACAGTTAACGATATCCTCTTGGATTGAGCATAACTCATGTACGTATGTATACTGGTAGGTGATGATGGCGCCAACTCGATTTCTTTGGGAACATGACTCGTGTAAAGGTGCTGCAATTGAAGGACGATAGACATTTCAAACATGTGAGCTGTATTCCTGTGTCCTGCTGCTGTAATGTCGAAAAAGGAAAAGTCTCCGAAAACTCTCGACTGCATAGTATACTACCGTGTAACGTTAGAGAGTAGTGTTCAGGGCCAGACGAGGCGGCGGCTTTCACACGTCGTATATGTACAAGTATGTAATTTGCCTCTGAAACGACAACGATGTCGTGATACAGTAGGTAGAAAGTATATATATATATATGGAGTGAGAAGGACCTTATACCACTGAAAGGCATAAAACTAGAGATTGGACTACTCGTTAGAACGATCCGAGATTGTTCAACGCCGTGTGCTTCCACGGCTCTCTCCCGCCGCGGAAGGGCGTCCACAACGCAAACAAATATCCAGCGTTGGACATGCAAATCCCGATTGAAACTCTTCGTTTCAGTATCATCGCCCCCATTACATTGGGAAAGGTTGTAACTGCACATTTGGATATCTCCTGTATAAAGGAATACTATCGAGGGGAACTATATACACGTTCTATGCCACTTTATACATGCATCGGATGAAACGGAGTATGTTATAATACAATGCTGTTATATATACAATATATATACCGCTTTTAACACCTTACATCAATATCGGCTGTATAGCTGTAGTAAAATCACGGTGTGACACCACAAGCGAATGGCGGAGCGCCAAGTCAAATGCCAGCACGAAATGTTTGCCAAGCATGTCTCGCTCGATCCATCCTATTTTCCAACTTGCCACCAACATGGCTCTTACCACACTGGTCCAAACCGCCGCTATCGCCCAGAGGTGCGAAAAGGAAGCGGCGGGCCGTCCGCGGGTGTCCAAGACGTCCTTCATGATGATCTACCTCTGCTTATGCCTTGGAAGCAAGTTCTACGTGTCCTCGCAGCAGCAGTCGGAACTCCTGCTTGCGTCCGAGCTGTATTATTATGACGACACCAACCTCCCCGTCTTCCTCCAGGACGAGCCGCCGCAGATCTCGCCGGAAGATGCCCAGCGCTTCCTTGCGCTGCCACAGGCGACGGAACATCCATTGCATGCCGCGATTCGGTCTGGGTCGTTGCAAATGACACAACTGGCCCATGAAACCTATGAAGACGTGGATGTGGTGTCCATGCAGCAGCGAAAGACCCCACTCATGCTGGCCGCGGAGTTAGGCCACGCAGACATCGTCGCGTATTTACTAGACCAGGGTGCCGATGTGTTCGCAGAAGACGCCGCGGGAAACACAGCGCTGCATGTGGCATGCGAGGCTGGTCACGTGTACGCCACATATGTCCTCCTGACGGCAGGGGCGGACCTCGACCTTCCGAACGACCGCATGCAGACGCCGGACGATGTGGCCATGCCGCACCTGCAGGAGCTTCTCGACACGAACGGAGTGATCGCAGATAGCATTGTTCGGGGATGGGACCGGCAGTTCAAGACCCACGGGTTTCTAGTTCCCACCGCCGTCGTGGCACGTCGAACGACGCGGTATGCCCGCTTCCTCAAACTCGCGAAAATCGTCGAAGAAGTAGGAATTATTTAAATAGTCAACCGAAGATTATTATTATTACTTCAATATCCGGATAATACCCGATTATCCGGGTCTATCCATTCACCAAACAACACTCAGTTTGAAAAAGTAAGGAGCGCCGCGATGTCGTACATGCTGCCGCACCTGTGCACGGGGTGGTCCGTGGACCAAGCCATCATGACCGAAGGGGACCGCGTGGTGGTGATGCGCTTCGGCCATGATCACGACCCCGTGTGCATGCAGATGGACGAAGTGCTGTGCGGCGTGGCCGAGGACGTCAAGAACTTTGCCGTCATCTACGTCGTGGACATCACGGAAGTGCCCGACTTCAACACCATGTACGAGCTGTACGACCCGTGCACCGTTATGTTCTTCTACCGCAACAAGCACATCATGATCGATCTCGGGACGGGGAACAACAACAAGATCAACTGGGCGTTCAACAACAAGAAGGAAATGATCGACATTATTGAAACGGTATACCGCGGCGCGCGCAAAGGCCGCGGGCTGGTCATCTCCCCCAAGGATTACTCGACCAAGTACCGCTATTAAGTTAACAAAGCACCTTGCTGTATGGAGCACAGCAGGTTCTCTATCGGTGGTCGAACGAATGTACATGCGTGCAAGTATTACTAACGCGAATCTAATCGTTGTGCATCTCCTCACATATCGAAGACCTGCAGCAGTACCGGTAGTCCTAGAACGACCTCCTCGAGGAGTGAAGATATTGGGGCAACATTAGCTGGACATATTACTCTTCTTCCTGCTCTTGCGCGAACGGGTTGGCAATCTCTTCGGTCCCGTCCACGGGGGATATCAGCATCACAGACGTGCCTCGGCATACCAGCAACCCCAACTCGCGCGTTTGCCCAGGGGTGTCCAAGTACTCGACCGCGTCATCAAGGACCAAGTTGACCAGCTGATCGTATCCTTTCAGGTTGCCGCGCACTTCCCGTCCGCCTGCGAACTTGACTTGGACGCTCTGGTCGATGTACTTCGCAAGGTCTAGGATCGGATCGCGCTTCGTCGCACTCATCTCTCTTCTGGCCACGAACGCAAAATGGCATTCGGGTACCCGTTTGTTTTTATTTCCCGTTATATTGTATATATGTCAATGATCAAATATTAGATTAAAGAGGCAACTGATTGTAATTTTCATTGAAATCCAATGATCGCTTTAACAGACAGACACGATGGATGGAGCGTTCTCGTTGAAGGTGTGCTGCATGGGCGCGGGGTACGTCGGTGGACCGACTATGGCGGTGATCACCAAGTTTTGCCCGTCGATCCGCGTCACGGTTGTTGACGTGGCAGCGAAGCAGATCGCTCGGTGGAACTCGGAGGACTTCGACCTGCCAATCTACGAGCCAGGGCTTGAGGCCCTTGTTCGGGAAACGAGAGGACGGAACCTATTCTTCTCCACAGATATCGACAGACACATCAAGGAAGCCGATGTCATCTTCGTCTGTGTGAACACCCCGACCAAGGCGGCTGGAATCGGCGCGGGGAGCGCTGCCGACACCAAGAACATCGAGCTTTGCGCACGGATGATTGCCGAATATGCGACCAGCGACAAGATCGTCGTGGAGAAGTCGACTGTGCCCGTGCACACGGCCGAGGTTCTCATGGCTGTGTTCAACGCCAACAACAAGTAAGCCCACTCGATCTTCCATGACGAATCACTTCCGTCTCGGTGTAGGAGCAGCGTCCACTTCGAAGTGCTGTCGAACCCCGAGTTCCTCAGCGAAGGCACGGCAGTCCAGGACCTGATTACTCCGTCCCGCGTCCTCATCGGCGGCGGCAGCACGTCCGCCGGCCAAGCCGCCGTGCAAGCCCTCGTTCGCATCTACGAACAGTGGATTCCCTCAGGTTCTCCATCCCCTTTGACGACATTAACAGCGCCATGTTAGAGCGCATCTTGACGACGAATGTGTGGTCCTCGGAGCTGTCCAAACTGGTGGCCAATGCTTTCCTCGCCCAGCGCATCTCGAGCATCAACTCGATTTCGGCGATTTGCGAAGCCACGGGTAGGGACTTTTCCTCCTTCGTCGGGACTTTTCCCTGCCTTTCATGGGGATTCTTCCCTTGATTGAATCCATTTCACCATATATTAGGCGCGGACGTGACCGAAGTGGCCAAGGCCGTGGGGACAGATCCCAGAATTGGCAGCAAGTTTCTGGACGTGTCTGTCGGGTTTGGCGGGTCGTGCTTTCAAAAGGTCGTCGTTGCTGCCGTCGTTTCTCGCAAACTCTCAACGTATATGTATGTATACATAGGACTTGCTGAATCTCGTGTACTTGGCCGAGTCGTTCCACCTTCCCGAAGTCGCCGCGTACTGGCGCAGTGTCGTGGCCATGAACGAGTTCCAAAAGCACAGATTCGGCACCCACATCGTCCGCACTATGTTCAACTCTGTGACGCACAAGAAGATTGGGATTTTGGGCTTTGCATACAAAAAGGACACGGGGGACACGCGGGAAACGGCCGCCGCGACGATCGTCAAGATGCTCGTGGCGGAGAAGGCCCAGGTGTACGTGTACGACCCCAAGGTCGAGTTGGACGACCTCGTGAACGAACTCAAGTACCACGGCGTGCCGGACGACGACATTGGACGCCATGTGCATGTGATGGATCGTGCGGATGCGGTCGCGGACAAGGCGCACGCGTTGGTGGTGCTCACCGAGTGGGAAGAGTTCAAAGCGTACGACTACACTCGCATCTACGACAGCATGCTCAAGCCCGCGTTTGTCTTTGACGGACGGAACCTCCTCGACCACGACCACCTCCGTGCAATTGGGTTTGCGGTGCACGGGATTGGCAAAAAGTGACGCTAGGAGGTAATACTAGTAGTAGTAGGTACTAGTCGTACTGAAGAGGATACTAGTAGTAGTACTAAAAATAATAGTATTAACAACAGTAGCAAAGTTTTGGCCTTGAGCTACCGGTATTGTGGATTCGGAATCACGAATTGACCCTATTGGCTAATCCAATTTTGAGTGGATTGGATTGGCTCTTACAGCAAATTCAACCAATCAGAACTCCAGCATGATTCAATATTGATTAGAATCCATGCGAATTTTGGAAGTTTATAGCGAATTCACAATACTCCGGAGTATCGTGTAACGTTACTATTAATAATACTAAGGAGTAGTATTAATAAGAAGGGATATACTAACAGTTAGTACTTTGAAGGTGGAAAATAAGGTACCTCTTATTGCAAGGCGCAACTAGCTCAGGGTAAAGTCTTTGGCAAGCACGTGACGTGTGGGTGCTCTGTATAGGCTAGACAAGTCTTTAGAGTACATCAGATTGAAGTGATATTGAGCTGATTTTCTCTAAAAATATTTAGACGAGCCAATCAAAGACGAGATCTCTGGCTTTCCACCAATCAGAACAAATGGGAGTCTTTTCATGGACCAGAGTGGTAACTGTTATAATATAATAGCCAGACGTACAGTAGTAACTTTCATACTCTATTAATAATATTTGAGCGATGCCATTTCGATAGTTATTAGAGTTTGGCGGGCAATTTGCGGCCGTGATACGTCACTCCTCGCTTGGAGACGACGAGCACTTGACCCGAGTTGTCTTGTTCTGCCAACGCCCTGAGCACCAACGCAGATGCGACGAAGTCGGGGGTCATGAGCCCTCCGATGCCGCGGACCACCGCGGGCGCGTGCGTGAGGACCGCCTGGCCCATCTGGGTGTCCGCAAAGCCAGGACATAATGCAACCACGCGCACGTTCGTCTTGTTCACGTTCATGCCCACGGCTCGGGAGAAGGCAACCACGGCCGCCTTGCTGCCAGAGTAGTCGGGTGAGTCCTTCAACGGGTACAAGCCTGCCATGCTCGCAATGTTCACCACCACGGGCTGTCCTCGAGACGGCGATAGGCGCAGCAGTCCCACCTGATTGAGTTGAATCGAGAGATTGAAAGAGTGCACGGTCAGCATCGTACGTGTTGTACCTGTGTGCCTCGAATGACGGCGGTGGTGTTGATGGCAATGACGTTGGTCCACGCAGTGTCCGAAGTGTAGAACCCCGTGTTTCCGATGCCTGCGTTGTTTACTAGGACGTTTACTGGATGCGACGGAAACGCTCGGTTGGCAGCGTCAAAGGCAGCGTCGAACGACGCCAAGTCGGTCACGTCTTGCTGTTGAGAGTGAACTCGGTCGGTGAACTCTTGCTGCAGGACACGCGCTGCAGCTTCAACGGCGGCAGAGTCGATGTCCGTCATGAGCACTCGGCCGCCTCCTGTCAGGATGGCGCGGGTGAAAGCCAGCCCCAGGCCGCGGCCAGCGCCAGTGATGATCGCCGTCACGTCGGTCACCTGCATGGGTCTGATTTTTGTGTTGAGGAAACAAACGGTTAAGTATCCGGCTTCTGCGATAACTTCAAGTTCCACTTTCTGGAAACCTAGGTGCAGAATGATGGTCGGTTTGAACCACAATCGGACGATACAATTGACCAATCATACACCACGCTCAATGCAGAATCTGCTTGTATTCTTCACGTCCATCGCCAAATCGGTATTCCACTTCGTGCCCTTCAGTGTATCCGTCCGAAATCCATGTAAAGTACGTCTTGTTGCAGCCACAACACAGGCATTCTGCGCCCCGAGCTACGTAGTCCTCTCGGATGAACTCGTTGAGTGTCCACTGGTTACAATGGCAGCACAAAACGCGGCCTTCTCGCTTGTATGCTTCCAGTTGGCCCGCCTCCTGCTCCTTCGCCACATGTGCCAAGTACGCGGCGCTGGTTGGGCCAGCGTGGTACGAGCCTCCGCATTTGCCAAAGTCTTTTCGATCGTCGTCGTCATCCAATTCCTTGAGCGCCTTGTTGACGTTGGTGTTGAATGCTTTGGAATTCACTAGGCCGAAGTCGTGGACGAGTTTCTTCTTGATCGTTGGCGCCCCCAGCATGATTGATGACTCTATGACGATAGATACAATGCGATCTTTGAGGGACTTGGGCTTGGGTGGCACTCGTCGCTTTGGGGCGGCCACAACATCAACGGCACTAGCATTATTGTGTTTACGTGGCATCGTGGACTTTGGTAAATACATGAACAGCATCCAACCAACAAAAATACAAGTCTACTATGCATAGTAGTCTTACCATTAATAGCCAGAGTTCGATGAGTGATGTACTGTACACAGGTGAATGATGTACTACGTATACGTATAGTACAGTATGTATGTACAATTATTTGCCAATCAAACGTAACTGTAGACATATTAATATCACATCGAAACTACTACCTGTACAGAACTGTAACCTTCACAAACGTTGGTCGACATACCACGTAAACACAATGCTAGTGCCGTTGATGTTGTGGCCGCCCCAAAGCGACGAGTGCCAACTTGAGCTGACTGTGCAATGCCACGAAAGCGCAAGGCTTCGGAGACAACCGCACAAGAAGAAGTTCGAGTGGCGGCACCCAAACACCGAGTCAGGCGCGCTCCATCTCCACCCGAACAAGCAACTTTAGATGGAATCAAAGCCAAGGCGACCAAGGATCGCATTCTGTTTATATTGGCGAAGGCTACAACTCTGGTGGGCGTTCCCACAATCATGAAACGACTGGTGGAGGAGTATGGCTTGACCGAGTCCAAAGCATTCAATACTAACGTCAACAAAGCCTTGGCAGCGCTCAGCTCTGAACAGCGTGCGGACTTTGGGAAGGTCGGCGGGTCGTACCACGCAGGGGATGCCAGTGAGGCGTACATTCAGCATTTCCAAGGCAAGGCGAGCGCGGCAGCGGACGAAGCCAATGCGCAGAAGTACATGGACCAGGGATGCATTCAGTGCTGCCACTGCGGAGAGTGGTGCCCTGGTGATTGCGAAGTGGGCGAAGATTCCATTGCCAGAGGGTCCAAGTATAAGTGCTTTGCCTGCGACAAGGTGTTTTGGACCTGGATCTCAGATGGATACACCACGGGCCACGAAGTCGAGTACAAGTACAGCAACGGATACTAAGCTGGGAGCTTGGAGTTTAGTAAGTCACAACTACTACTATAGTACTAGTGTATTAATATTAAGACTTCGAAGTAGTAGTATTACAATACGAACGTTAGTATTTACTACGTACTACATGATCATTGTTAATACTACGTAAAATTATCAATATTACAAATTTCATTAGAAAAAAGTACTCCGGAGTACTACGTAGTACTGTAACAGCAACGTTTACGTAAACTAACGTTATCATTGATTTTGCCAATGCATCATTGATTTGCCGAACTTCTTTCCCCTTAACGTTAGTTGGAATATAGTGTGAGATTTTCAAGAATGAATGTTGGTGAGTCGTGAGTCACCTACATTCTCCGGACATAGGAACAGTACCCGGAATCCGGATACCACTTATCCGGATTTTCGCAGATGCCGGCCAACTTCGCATTTCCACATTCCAGCTGGTTGCCATGTTCGACTTCCTCAAGCGACCGACTCTGGAGGATGAGCTCTTCAAGATGCGCTTCACGGCCAAGTCCCTTGTGCGCAACTCGAAGAAGTGCGAGAAGAACCAAATCGCCCAGAAACTCAAATTGAAGCAAGCCATTGAGAAGGGTAACATGGAAGGCGCCAAGATTTACGCCCAGAATGCCATCCGCGAGAAGACGCAGGCCCTGAGCTACCTTCAGCTGAGCTCCCGCATCGACGCGGTGGCGGCGCGTGTCCAAACGGCCATCAGCATGGGCAACCTGAAGTCGAATATGTCTGGCGTCGTCAAAGGAATGAACGTCGTGATGGATTCGATGAACGTCGAGAAGATCTCCAAGACCATGGACCAGTTCGAGCGGCAGTTCGAAGACCTCGATGTCCGCGCGGCCTACATGGAAGGCGCGATGAACAGCACAACGGCCGGCGCCACCCCCGCCGATCAAGTGGACGATCTCATCCAGATGGTAGCGGACGAGAATGGGTTGGTCATCGCCGGCCAACTCGACTCGGCTGGAGCAGTGGGATCCCACGTGTCAGTGGCAGCCCCCGCCGCAGCGCAAGCCACGGACGACCTAACAGCACGTTTAGCGGCGCTACGAAAGGCCTAAGCCACTCTAATTCGAGGACTTCCATAAAGTATATGACTTGTATTGCCGAACTTTGCAGATGCGAGTGCCTTGATAAAAAACCTTGTGCCATATTATTATGGAGGAATATCTGTGGTTGAGTTAGTTGTGAGACTCCCACCTTCTCACTACCGTATATCTTATGGATCAGTAGATACCCTTTAAATTGCAGTAGCGGTCGAAAAAGTAATTTAGAGAGATTGTACATATAATACACTGGCAATTGACCACGGTGAGCTTTCGATCGCCCAACTCGTTCCATGGCTCAACTGCAGTTTATAAGCTAGGAGTAGCGAGGGAGGTCAATTAGTCGCCAACGTTTGTGAAGTATAAGCAAAGCTAGAGGGTAAACTTCGACTGCCGCACGCACCGTGGGCGACATTTAGGAGCACATCCGAGTGGAGAAGAAACGCTTTCAAATGGGGCGGCTAGGCGGCTCTGGGCTGGGAAAAGCCGGCACTGTCACACTTTAACCAAGTTTGGGCGGAGGAGGCTGGCTAGCTACTAGTAGGGAAGAAGTAGAGCAGTATTGTGCTACAGACATACCAGCCAACCTAATGCCAAGAGGATGGATGCTGTGAACAAGAAACACAATTATAGCTTTGAAAATGTTTATAGGTGAAAACCATGTAGTACATACTCGGGTGGCGCGAGTCAGGGGAATCCAATTCGATTGTAGAGCCGTAGGTAGGACAGTGTTGGGGCTGACAGATCCATAAGCAAATACATACATTCTCTGGCTGCCCTAGTTTCACGAACCAAGGTATTAAGGTTCTGCATAGTAGTACTACAGGAGTTGGAGCACCCACTCGTACGTTGTTCACCGGCAAGAGTTTATGTAACACTAAACCTATAGTAGACTACTAGTAACAATAGGAATCCATCACGTTAACGTTAGCCAACCAAGTGCAAGCATCTGAGGGATCGCAACTCTCGCTGGACGTGTCCACTAGTTCCGGCCCACGCTTCCCACATGTCGACCCCAGTCGTGGGCGTGCCACGTGGCGCGATCTGGCACGACATGCCCACCGGCGTGACCACTCCATACACGAATCTGTGGTTGTTAGTGGCGTTGGAGATGACACAGCCTCGTGGATCTCGCGCAGTTGGTCCCAGTCTAGTGCGTGCGTTTCGGCGACGGTCGTTTTCAGGTAGTACACGACTCCATCCACGATCAGAATGCTGTCAAGAATCGGTGGGAACGTCGCGTACGCGGGGTACCAGTACATATAAGTGCGCGTATTTGTCTTGAGAAACTCGATACACTCGCCATACGAGGCCCCGTGCCCCATCACTTGGCACTCGTCGGTCACCGACACCACCAGCCCCCCCCCTCGAAGCTCCAGTTGCTTGAGCCAGGCGAGCTTGTGGAGCATCGCTCCGAACGCGATGCCGTGCAGAGTCCCCCCACGCATGGCGTTCTCGGCCAGATGGAGCGCGTTCACGTACACTTGGAGGTCGGCTTTGGTCACGAGTTCCGTGAGCGCGAACTTCGAGTCCACGATCGCCTTCCACATGGATGGCCTCGTGTACATCGACCTGTCAGTGGCGTCCTTTACATACAGGCTTGTCAGGGTGTCCATCCCTTGACATCGTGCATCGTCATAACGCCCAAGCAGGGTTTCCATAGTTGCTGGGGTGAGTCGTTGCAACGTCGTCATTCGGCGCTCGTACAGGTCCGAGAACTGGCGGCAAAAGTCCCGCGCATTCCCACCAGAGTACGCGTACTGAGTCTCAAAGGTGTTGATGGGGAGAGTCGGATAAAGTGCCCCGAGATCGTGTCGAGTCCACGCCGACATCAGCACGAGACTGCGGTTGTCTTGGCTCGATAGCCTGTATTGCCCCGACGTCGATAAGAGGTCGCTTGACTGGAATATATTGAGCCCATCTGTGATGAAACTGTTCTGATGGTAGCCATCCCCCACGACCAAGTACCGTTGGGTGCTCATGCAGGACTCTGAAAGATTGAATTCGATATATGGCAAGAGCCCTCTTGGGATCTTTGGGTACCCTGTGACAACGGACCCGCGAAAGCACAGCACCACGTCGGGGCTGGTCGTCCCCGCGTCGCATATCACGTGGCGCGCGAGGAAGATGTCGAAATTGTGCATCTGCGACAGGAAGCAGCAGAAAAGCACGAGAAGTGCCGACTTTCCGTCGCCCGGCGACCCCAGGAGCACGTAGTGGACGTCTTGCACTGGCTCGACGAAGTAGTTGTCATACAGAATGGCCCATACCACCTTCATCTCGTGTCGCACATATAGAGTTCTTGGAAACCCCCCAAACGACTTGAGAGCGTCTGAAAGCGCACTGGTGTCCAGAAGGACGCCCACTGGTACGGTGCTCAAGTCGTACTGAAACACTTTAGGGGAAGGCAGAGCCACGTCCACCTTGCCACGAGGTTCTATCCATAGACCACATAGTTAGTCCAACACAGGGTCACACAGTTGCAGTGGTTTGAGTTGCAAACACGAACCGTCAAGACCAGTGATAAGCTTGGCCTTCTTCGAGTCCACAACAATGGACTCACCTTCGCGCGGTCGAATCGGCGGGGATACCACCACGACCACATGAATTCGTTCCGCGGCGTCGAAAGGGGGGAACTTCCCACCAGTAAAATACGTGGAAAGAAATTTGTTTGCCTTCATCTTTCTGTCAGCATTCACATACGATGCCACCACGGAGTCTCCTCCGGCGGGATCGGAAAGTGCGACGACATCGGGGTCCTCACTGGACAACCACGCATGATCCTTGATCGCCAAGTACAAGTCGAGGCCCCTGGTGGGGAAGCCAAACTCTGGATGCGCCCGGATCGCATGCTTCAATTGATCGACTGGTTCAGTCGTGTCGATGCTCATTCTGAACGGGTCGCGTCTCCCCCCCACCACTACGCACCAAAAGTCCATCAAGCAACGGTGCAGTTCTTCGGATTATTGGAAAATGACTTGAACGTGTCGAGTTCCAATTTACAGTTAAGAGACATGGGACAATTATCGTCTTCAGTTGTGTAGTAATACTACCTTTTTAAATTAATACTCGCCTTGATCCCATGTGTTTTACCCCGAAACCCCGAAACCTGTCATAATATTATACCCTAACCACAAAAAATGTATGCATGTATCAAATACTAGGATCAAGCTTCCAATATGTCGCTTAAATTGTCCCCTACTTTTGAGGTGTTTTGCTTGGAAAATGAGACATTAGGACATGATAGATATACTGTGTTTCCTTTTGAATTATTGTGAATTCCGGTGAAACTTGCAGTTTTGGGGTGGTTTGACCCCACGATGTAAAGTGCCAACAAATCGACCGAGCCTTTTGATTCGTCAGAAAAAATATACACTTAACCAATCACAAACTATCTTCGACATTTGATTTCTGGAAAAGACAGCAGACCATGGCAGAGGCAGCAAAAAGGCAGCATGCACACGCCAACACCGTTTACCACTGCCTCTTCA